AAATTCATTTGTGATTGAATGCATGTTCATTGGAGATCTCTAGTAACTTAGCAGATGCCGCCATAAAGTTGAATTGGTATGTATAGAGGCCTTCGCTCCACAACAGCACCTAAATCCAGTCAGTTAGCTCGGAGCCAACATGTAACTCGCTCACCTAGGCCACTCCACTCCAATCCAGAGCTCCCTTTCTGGAGATACTCCTTGAAAATCAATGAGCACTTCCTTGTGCATCAAAACAGGGCTGACGTTTCATTTTAGGCCTCCCTGATTCTGGGGAAAATTTTCCCCCTCTATTATGAGTGCACATTTTCCAGAAGAACAGCACTCTGATTGCTCAGGGTCAGGCCTCTGGATATCAGGGTAAATCACCCTTATAACCCTTATTATAAGGGTGGGTTTAGGTGTTCACGCTTATTTTGCAGAGTTGTATGTTAGGGCGCCCTTACAAGAAAAGGTGAATTTTTGTGTAACACTGATATTTCAGACCGACCTGGTGTACTTGCCCTGATGACTAAAGGTAGTGTTGGGTACAACACTGAAGCGATTTTTCTTTAGGGAGGGGGGGGGGGGGGGGGGGGGGGGGGGGGGGGGGGGGGGGGGGGGGGGGGGGGGGGTTGGGGGGGTTCACCGACGTGATTTTTGCCGCGATTAGCGGCGATTTGCCCGAGTCACCAGAGTTGCGCGTCGCCAAGACCGCTCGCGTCGTCATAGCCACAGTCCCGCCAACTGTACCCGTATCACCTGCATTTTGCCTGCCTGGCGGTGACGCGCAGCGCCACACAGATGTGCATCGTGCAGGAGAGTTCTTCTTGGTCCCTTCCTCCCTCCCCACCAGACCCCCACGTACCGACCAGCCACTCTCACCCAACCCCAACCCAGTGAGTTAATTTCTCTCATCCAGTTTTCCTCCTCGTGGTCTCGTCTAGGGTTTGCACACCACGCCTTCCTGCTGATATCATAGGCATAGCTCCAGCATCTACCTCCAAGTCCCTCGTCATGGATGTTGACGCTAGCGGTGAAGATGACGACGAGGCGTCGTCAGGTCCAGCACTCACCCTAACAGGGCCTACTAAGCGGCTGCTTGAACCAGAGCCCGTCGTCGCCTCTACTGGAGGCTGAGACCGGGCTGGATGAAGTGGGGCGTGACCTGCACCACGACGTCTGAACTGGCACCACGAAAAGCGACGACACATGTAACATATACTGCTGCTGCTGACGACTCTGCTGCCAAGAAGCTGAAATCTGTTTCTGGTTAGGCACTGAAGAAGTGGCGGCAACCTGACTCGAGTTTCACTCGCGGGGCTCGTGCATAGCAATGTTCAATGCTAGCAAGAAGGGCCGCCCAGCTCAGGAGTTCATGTACCGTATTAACTTGTGTGCTCACTGCTCAGCTTATTCTGTTAAAACTAGGCGCTGGTGCTCTAGCTGCTCTGTTAGTTTGTGCCTTCTTTTATATGTAACGCTTTAATCTAAACATGAAAGGGTGAAAACAATGTGTACACTGAAGAGTAAGAGTACCTTTCCAGCTGGCACTGATAAAAAAGACTGACATGGTTGACGCACCCTTACTGAAAGACCAACTCCAGCTAACTGGTCTTACAAGAAAGAGTGCTCCGAATCCTATCCAGAGGCCTGCTCAGGGTTGTTAAGTAGTTACCAACTCTGATTGTTCAGGGTCGAGAATTGAACATCAGAGTAGTAACGCGCTCTTTGTTACCGGGGAAAAAAGTCCCACTCTCCATCAAGTCTGCGCGCTGTGTTTCGCGCTGGCTGTACACTTGACTAATTTGTGCAGGGCGGGTGCGATTGACCTATCTGGTGTGCGAGAGTAACGCTTCCCTGTCTTACAGTATTACCATGCCCAATCGGATCTCTTCATCTGGCATGTAGTGCTTGAATGCTGACGACTGTAACGTTTTACCCTCAGTGGCGTGCATCCTGGAGCGAGTGTACCGACCGAACGGGCGAGTCAAACCTGTTTGAGTCATAGATTTCAAGTGTCAGGGCGCATCTATTTCGACCAATCACAGCAAAATATATCTGACATTGAAGATTCGCCCGATCTCGATGGTAGGTGTATCACAAGGAATTTTCGAAGAAACTTCGTCTGGGGGGGGGGGGGGGGGGGGGGGGGGGTGGGGGGTGGGGGGAGGATTACGCACATAGGGGGGGATCTCGATCAATCCGAAGACGGGGTTATCGAAAGGAAATTTCCGAGAAAAATCCTCCCGATAAAGTCAGATTCAGGGACCACAGAGTCGATACTCTGTTAAAACCGGGGTGCACATTCAGCTGAATGTGCATCAAAGGTTATCCCTTGACTGAGTGGGTTACGAGGTGTGCTTTCAACCCCTTCAAGTCGAAATTCGTTTCCCCCCTCCCCCGCAATTTCGTTTCCCCACGCCCCCGCAATTTCATTTCCCCCTTCCCGTCGAAATTCGTTTCCCCCCTCCCCCGCAATTTTGTTTCCCCCCTCCCCCGCAATTTCGTTTCCCCCCCCTCCCGCCAATCTGTTTCATCCCTCCCGCCATTCGGTTTCACCCACTCCCGCCATTTCACCCCCTCCCGCCACCTACGAAATGCCCGAAGCTCTAGCGGAATCATTTTTTTGTCGCCCCTCGTTAGCCAATCACTGTTTTTCTCCAAACCCCCTTCCCAACATCTCAAGCCGAACCGCGTTGAATGTGCACCCTGGTTTTAAAACCAGGGTACACATTCAACGCGACTCCAGGCTAAATTTTGGGCGGCATGTTTGCGGGAACTGCTGATTGGTTGACGAGTAGCGAATAAATAGTTGAGAATGGGCGAGCATGGGGCTTTTCGTCCGTGAGAGATGAGGCTTGGCAGGGGAGAAATTGATAACACTTGGATCTAGAAATTGGGGATCAAGGGGAGGGCAACTGGGTTGGCGGAAAGGGGAAAGGGGGTGAGACGATATTGTGGGGGAAGGGGAAACAATTTCGGTGGGAGCGGAATAGGTATGGGGAGGGGGGAAACGAATTGGCGGAAGCACATTCGATGACTTCGGTTTACATTTGCCAAATCTCGAGGGTTCAAATGTTCACCTGCTGAAGCGAACACTCCCCCCAGATATTCCTAAATCACTGAGTAACCCCGAGGTCAAAGGTTAACCTTTGACAGAAATCCAATTGAATGTGCACCCTGGTTTTAAAGCTTTTGTATACATTTGAAAGTACTGTTGCGGTTTGAACAGTGTCCAAAAATATTTCGCCACAACGAGATCGAATGAGCTTGGCGAGAGGTTGGCGAAAATTTGAAGCGTCCAGTGAGGGTTGCGTTGTCAGGACACAAACACCCTCCCGTCACCCAAACTACAAAATGGTGCTCACAGATAGAAAAATAAGTTGCGATGTTACTAACGGGGTTGCGATAGAACTACACGGGAGGCGACGAGGCAGTGACTGGAACAGCGCAACCACTTACACAGTCGCTGGTGTTAGATTGCACACGTAGTCACGACAAGGACCGTCTAGTGCCCGCCAACTCCCTTCAGCTCCAGCGCCGTCTGGATCATTCAATAGCATTAGGCGGGTTCGCCGCGATCCATTCGCTGTCCTCGCCAAGTAATTCTCGCCAAACAAGCAGCTCGCGACACCCTCTTAGCACGTCACCCGCTTCTCGCCTACCCCGCTGCGCGCCTCACCAGCTTACAGCTTAGCGCCTCACCCGCGGCTCGCCTCACCCGATTCTAACATCACCCGCTGCTCGCATCACCCGCTGCTCGCATCGCCCCTGCTCGCATCACGCGCTGCGCGCCTCACCCGCGACTCGCCTCACGGGCTACGTGCCTCACGCGCTGCGCGCCTCACGCGCTGCGCGCCTCACTCGTTGCGCGCCTTACGCGCTGCTCGCCTCACACGCTGCTCGTCTCACGCGCTGCTCGCCTCACACGCTGCTCGTCTCACGCGCTGCTCGCCTCACACGCTGCTCGTCTCACGCGCTGCTCGCCTCACAAGCCACTTCGTTTGTCAAAACGTCTCGCTTTTATCGAGACCGCCTTCTCTCGTTCGTCCCCCTCATTTCCCCCCTTCTCCCTCTCATTTCCCCCCTTTCTCCCTCTTATTACCCTCCCTTCTCCCCCTAATCTCCCCCTTTCTCCCCCTCATTTCCCCCCCTTCTCCCTCTCATGTTCCTCCCTTCTCGCTCTCATTTCCCTCCTCCTCCTTCTCATTAACCCCTCTTCTCTCTCTAATTTCCCCCCCTTCTCCCCCTCATTTCCCCCCCTTCTCCCCCTCATTTCCCCCCTTCTCCCTCTCAAATTCCCCCCGACTCGCTCTGAAATCCCCCTCTTATCCCTCTCACCCCCCCCCCCCCCTTCGCCCCCTCATTCCCCCCCCTTCTCGCCTTCATTTCCCCCCCTTCTCCCCCTCATTCTGGTATCGTCCCTCTCATTTCACGACCTGCTCCCCCTCATTTCCCCCCCTTCTCTCCCTCATTACCCCCCTCTCCCTCTTATTACCATCCCTTCTCCCCCTCATTTCCGCCCTTCTCCCCCTCATTCCCCCCCTTCTCCCCTCATTTCTCCCCCTTCTCCCCCTCATTTCCCCCCTTCTCCCTCTCAAATTCCCCCTGACTCGCTCTCAAATCCCCCTCTTATCCCTTTCATCCCCCCCCCTTCACCCCCTCATCCACCCCCCCCCTTCTCGCCCTCATTTTCCCCCCTAATCCCTCTCACTTCCACCCTTGCTCCCTCTCATTTCCCCCCTTGCTCCCTCTCAGCTCCCCCCCTACTCACCATCATTCCCCCTCCTGCTCCCTCTCATTCCCCCCCCCTTCTCCCCCACATATCCCCCCTTCTCGTTTTCAAATCCCCCCCTCATCCCTCTCATCCCCTCCCCCCTTCTCCCTCTCATTTCCCCCTCTTCTCCCTCTCATTTTCCCCCCTTCTCCCCCTCATTTCCCCCCCTTCTCAACTCTCTTTTCCCCCCTTGCTCCATCTCATTTCCCCCCATCCCCCCTCTCAAATCCCCCCCTTCTAGCTCTCAAATCCCCCTTTTCTCCCTCTCTTCCCCCCCCCCCTCTTCTCCCTCTCATTTCCCCCCATCCCCCCTCTCAAATCCCCCCCTTCTAGCTCTCAAATCCCCCTTTTCTCCCTCTCTTCCCCCCCCCCTCTTCTCCCTCTCATTTCCCCCCTTGCTCCCTTCTCGCCTCAGTTCTCCCCGTGCCCCCCCTCACTTACCCCCCTTCTCCCTCTCACTTCGCCCTCTTCCCACCCTCATTCCCGCCCTTCTCCCTATCATTTTCCCCCCTACTCCCTTTCATTTCCCCCTTGCTCACCATCATTTCCCCCTTCTCCCTCTCAGTTCCCCTGCTTCCCTCTCATTTCCCCCCTTCACCCGTTCATTTTCCCCCCTTCTCCCCTTCTTCCCCCCTCCTTGCTCCCCTTCCTTACAGGGTGGTTCCATTGTTCGTGATGGCCCCCACTCCCTCCTTTCCATTCTCCCTTCCACGCTCTCCCATCTCCATGCCCACCTTCTGATGCCCACACCCATCCCCACCCCTCTCATGCCCACCCTTTCCTTGCTCCGTACCTGTTTTTTCGGCTCAAGCACAAATGCGGCCACTCGTGCACCTCTCTCTTTGCGCCTACTTCTTCTGTCCCTGCCCCTACTGTCGCTGCTGCTGCCATTGCCGGAGCTGCCCCTGCTGCCTCTACTAGTGTTCCTTCCTCAGGCACGAGACCCCCACAACCTACGTCCCCCCTCTGCCGTTGTTCTGCATCAACGTACTCTGGTACTCTGTGTGTTCCCGTGGTGGCATGGTGAGGCATGCATGCTGGGTAATTTCTTAGGGTTGCATGCCAGTCAAGTGATTTGTATCTTGTGGGCACTGGATTGCTCTTTCCCACCCTCAATACTTTCCTCTCCCGACTATCAGTTCTCCAGGCTTAGCTTGAGCTCTGACATATGTGCCCCCTTTTTCCCCTCCTCGTCCCCTCCCTCCGTCCCAATCCCCCCACTCCTCTCACTAGCAGGTCCACCAAGCGGCCCACACTCTCGCTCCCCTCTGCTACACACCAATGCCAGGCATGCGACAGCAAACCCCACAGCACGTGCGGCATTAGGAACCTTTTTCCACATGCATACATGTCCAATTGTGTGTTGTCGAGCTCGCTTCGCCGTACGATATTAGGAACTTTTATGAGTTCCATTGTCCATTTAGGTATCTGCACTTCAACAAGTTTGGTGTAACGATTTCTCATTTCCCATTACACTAAATACATAAAAAATAATTCTTTGGAAACCCATTTTCCCGAGTAAAAGCTGGGGACGTCAATAGAGGATGCTCAGGATGCAGAGAACGATGAGAAGGGTACCGTACGGGAGGGCCAGGATGGGTTGGACTGGGTGTGAACGTCACGCAAATAAGGAGATCGGCAGTACAGGGAGGAGGGCATTAGGGGGAATGCATACGATTCAGCACACCCTCTAGCTGTTTTATTGCCGGGGTGGGAGGGACTGAAAGAGGATCGAAGGGGCTGGAAGGGGATGGGATGAGAGGGGTTTGAAGGGGATGGGATGAGAGGGGTTTGAAGGGGATGGGATGAGAGGGGTTTGAAGGGGATGGGATGAGAGGGGTTTGAAGGGGATGGGATGAGAGGGGTTTGAAGGGGATGGGATGAGAGGGGTTTGAAGGGGATGGGATGAGAGGGGTTTGAAGGGGATGGGATGAGAGGGGTTTGAAGGGGATGGGATGAGAGGGGTTTGAAGGGGATGGGATGGGAGAGTATCGCAGGAGATGGAAGGGTATGGCGGGGGATGAAAGGTTATGGCAGGGGAAGGAAGGGTAGGCGAAGGCAAGTAGGGGATGCGGGAGAGATGGTTGCGAGGGCATGGAGGGGTGATGCGAAGGCAAGGAAGAGAGATGAATAGGTAGGGATAGGCGATGCATAGGTAGGGAAAGGAGATGCATAGGAGGTGGAAGGACGAAAATGGTTCAAAGAAACGAGTGATGGGGAGGCGGGAAGGGGAGATGGGGAGCGGGATGGGGAAACGGGGAGGCGGGAAGGGGTAATGGGGAGCGGGAAGGGGAAGCAGGGACGTGGGAATGGGTAATGGGGAGGCGGGAAGGGGAAATGAGGCAGCAGGAAGGGGAAATGGGGAGCTGGAAGGGGAAACAGGAGGCGGGAAGGGGAAATGGGGAGGCGGGAACGGGAATTGGGGAGGCGGGAAGGGGAAACGGGGTGGCGGGAAGAGGAAACGGGGAGCGGGACGGGGAAACGGGAAGGCGGGAAGGGGAAACGGGGAGCGGGACGGGGAAACGGGGAGGCGGGTGTTGGCTACTATTAGCCCTTAGTCTACTCTACGCGCACCACTTAAGTCACACTAAGTGATCTCCGCCGGGCCTCGTCCTCGGGTCCACGGTTCTCCAAGTGAATACGCACTAGAGTAGTCCCACACTTAAATGCGCAGCGTCTTGTTATAAATTATCACGTCTCAAGAAATACTCTTCACGTCAATACGATGAAAGAGGAACCAATTCTCATAAAAGATGATGAAAAAAGGTTAATGACAAACAAGAACAAGCAAAGATATATACTAACCCACCGAAATCAAAAGCTAACAACCCACCAAAATGATAGATGGAAACATACTCCGAATGGCCAACTACCTCCACACGAAACTTGTGGAAACATGCTCGCCCATGCATATTCCTGTGTGCCATACTTGCTCGCGAACGCTCATGGACGCTCGTGGTCGCTCGTGGCGACAGCTCATGACAGATCATGAAAGCACCTGAAGAATTCGCGCAGTTACGTGACGAAATTGCGAAATCGTCGAAATTTCTCTTGCACCTGTCGCACCAGCTTCGAATGTAAATCGCGGACTTCGTGAAACACCCTGGCGAATATTCTCCTCGGTTAATGCAGACAAAATGCTCGAGGGTCCCACGAAATCCAACCTGGACCCACGATTTCTCGGCTTTTTCCCTCGTGCCACCTGCACACCCCACTTGCGCGTGTGGCAAACCATCTGCAGCCTCAGGCCTCGCGTGTGCACATGCTGGCACATTCCAACCACTTGGCGCCACTCCCATGATTGCGCCAGAATCAGTACAGTGCTCGGCACTCCTTCAATAACTTGACCAGGGGCGAAATTCCTCGAACTCCCATAACAAACACGAAATAACGAATGCACTCATGAAAACACACGAAAACGTACCTCACAAACTTTACCTTAAAACCCCTTGAACGATCATGAATCCACATGATCGCTCATGACCGCTCATGATCGCTCATGATCGCTCATGAACACACATCTCCGCTCATGAACGTACACGAACAGACGCGAAGCTCCATGACCACTCATGGACATTCGGAACTTCATGAAACACCACGAACACTCTGAAAAACTCGAAACTTCTCACATGCATATACGAAACGCACGCGAACAGTCATGAAAACTCATGAATGCAATCTCACACTAAAATGCACATAACTCACGAACCAATGAAACGATTCACGAACCGTAAATACCGAAATGTGACGCACAAAAGCGTGCATCTCACATAACTCAAATTACCTTCTCTCCAGATTTTACTATCAGTCGTGTGTGGTTGTTACGAACCACTCCAACAGCGGGAAGGGGAAATGCGGAACGGGAAGGGGAAACGGGGAGGCGGGAAGGGGAATTGGGGAGGCGGGAAGGGGAAACGGGGAGGCGGGAAGGGGTAATGGGGAGCGGGAAGTTAAAACGGGGAAGCGGGAAGGGGTAATGGGGAGCGGAAAGGGGAAACGGGGAGGCGGGAAGGGGAAATGGGGAGGCGGGAACGGGAATTGGGGAGGCGGGAAGGGGAAACGGGGTGGCGGGAAGGGGAAATGGGGAGCAGGAAGGGGAAACGGGGAGGCGGGAAGAGGAAACGGGGAGCGGGACGGGGAAACGGGAAGGCGGGAAGGGGAAACGGGGAGCGGGACGGGGAAACGGGGAGGCGAGAAGGGGAAATGCAGAACGGGAAGGGGAAAGGGGGAGGCGGGAAGGGGAATTGGGGAGGCGGGAAGGGGAAACGGGGAGGCGGGAAGGGGTAATGGGGAGCAGGAAGGGGTAATGGGGAGCGGAAAGGGGAAACGGGGAGGCGGGAAGGGGTAATGGGGGGGCGGGAAGGGGAAACGGAGAGGCGGAAAGGGGTAATGGGGAGTGGGAAGGGGAAACGGGGAGGCGGGAAGGGGTAATGGGGAGCGGAAAGGGGAAACGGGGAGGCGGGAACGCGAATTGGGGTGGCGAGAAGGGGAAACGAGGAGGCGGGATGGTGTTGGGAGCTCCCGTTTCTGCAGTCGTTCGCGACCTCAAGTGCGGCTGCCGGGGCTTGTGCGGAAACATGGTAGCGAGGCGGTGCGATCGAGCCGCGACTGTGATCGTGCGTGTTCGGCAGTTTGAGGCGACGCGACGGACGACGAGGCGAGGCCGTGAGGGAAGGTCCGGCGGGATCGGCGTGTGAGAGGGCGAAACTGAAGTTGGCTTATCCCTATTATTACACTAAAATGCCCCACGCGTCTAGGTTTGTGTCAGAAACGGGGGTAATTTTCGCTGGCGGTTGAGTCGCGTACTTAGCTACGTATTATGCTGCCTGTAGAGCCTAGTGGCGTAGATCTCACAAAGGCTGGATTTCGTATACTTTTGTCGACCCAAAAGTTTTGAATCACCTGTGAGTGCTGGGAGTCGGGGAGATATCCCTCCCTTGTAGAGCGAGTGAACTGGCTGTAATAGGGTTACCAATCTTTCAAATTTCAAAACTTTTGAACCTCCCTCTTTCAAATGTATACAAAAGCTTTAAAACCGGGGTGCAATGTGCATCAAAGGTCAACCTTTGATGCCCTGGGTTACGAGGTGTGCTTCGGGGTTGGGATTCAGATTTCGCGCTGATTACCCGTCCCCCCCAATTTTTTTCCCCTTCCCCCTCAATTTCGCTTCGTCCCCTCCCGCCACCTTGTTTCGTCCCCTCCCGCCACCTTGTTTCGTCCCCTCCCGCCACCTTGTTTCGTCTCCCCCCCCACTTTCTCCCCACCAACGAAATTCCCGAAGCACCACCCGAAATTTCTACCGAGCCGCTTCTCGTTATCCAATCCCAATTTTTCACCGAATCGCCCTCCGAAATTTCCCAACCGAATCGGGTTGAATGTGCACCCTGGTTTTAAAGCCCAAGACCTGAATTACTCAACAGAAGTCAACCCAAAGTTTTTAGGTTCGGAGGAAGGCAATTGGAGGTTCGGTTGGGTTGTGGACCCTCTCGCACTCGCGAAACCAGTTTGCGAGAAAACTGTCGTTTCAAAGAAAACGAGTGATGCGTCGTGGGGTCCTTCCCACAACAACCAGAATACAAGATGCATACCAAAGTGTGCACAGTTTGAGAAACTTAGGATGCAAACCAGAACTACTTAGGCACAAGCTTCAGCACCTGTAAGGCAGGCGTTGACTCGAGAGGGATCAGATGCGCGATACGAGGGTGTGTGGCGCGGAATGAGAGTGTGAAGTGCAGAGATAGTGTACGGCGTGCGATGAGATTAGGTGTCGACATGCAGGTTTAGTAGGAGGTGCTCCATAAAACTCGCGGCGAATATACAATAGCCACCCGTTCGCCCAAGCGTGAGCCTCCCATCGCCCTCGCTTTTCTTTTCCCAAGACCGCGCTTCCCCTTGCCGTCGCCCGTGTCGTCGCATACGCGTCCCCAGCCCTTCGCCTTCGTTCCCCAGCCCGTCGCCTTCGTTCCCCAGCCCGTCGCCTTCGTTCCCCAGCCCGTCGCCTTCGTTCCCCAGCCCGTCGTCTTCGCTCAGCCCGTCGTCTTCGCTCAGCCCGTCGTCTTCACGCAGCCCGTCGTCTTCGCCCAGCCCGTCGTCTTCGGCCAGCCCGTCGTCTTCGCCTAGCCCGTCGCCTTCTCTCCATCCGCCCGTCGCCTCTGTCAATCAGCCCGTCGCCTTCTGTCCCTCCGCCCGTCGCCTTCTCTCCCTCCGCCCGTCGCCTTCGCTTCCTCCGCGCGTCGCCCTCACTTCCCCCCCCTGTCGCCCTCGCTTCCCCCACCCATCGCCCTCGCCTTCCTGGCCATCGCATTCTCTACCCCTCTCTACAAAATCTGGGAAGGAAAAAGAATGCAAAATGATTCTTCGGGGATTGTTTGAGGTTTTCCCCTGCCATCAATGCTTGTGGTTTATCATGATGAATGCTCAACAGTGCAGGTTTGTTAGAGGAATCTTTGAAACGTTTGCCTGAGCAATCTTGAGTAGGCTCGGCAAGGAGTGCACCAGCATACACCCAACATTGCTCATCCTCACTAAAGCAACTAGAAAATCGTCATATAAGAGAACTTTTTAACGGATCAATCATCACAGTTCACGGATCTCAGTATGATTGAATACAAACAATTGGAAAATGCAGAATACAAAACGCAGTTCACACACTAGGTTTCAGGCAAATAGCAACTTCTTGCCACTTATGAAATGAATTCTCTGCTGGAAATTAGTAATCCCAAAGTTACAATTCAACTCAACCTTACAGCAATGATCACAATACCCGATCCGCCTTATCAATAGCTACAAGATCTAACATCCTATTTATATACCCGCGTTCATGATGATCCACACACAGGTACATAAAATGCATGAACTACCGGTTACAGCTTATTCCGGGCGCAACGAGGGCTCTGCAGAACACCACCAGAGTTAGAACACAGAGAGAGGACATGGCCAAACCATAAAACACCACACATGAACCTATCGATCATGGATGCCTTTGACATGCTCGGAACAGCATCCCATGAAACTCCTCTAGGAACCGTGATAGGCTCGGTGATAAAATTTCAGGAGAATATAAACTTAGCAATAAATTTCGCTTGGCGATAATCTCGGAAGTCGCTGATGTAGAGCGCTGTCAAGCGCGCTGGTATTCTGCAAAAGAAAATATGTACAAACAAGGTCGCGCAGTAGACAATGCGTATTTGGCTGAAAACGAAACTCACCTGAGTTGATCATGAACTTACCAGTGGGGAGGAAGGCGTGAGAAGGTATCCTAATCTCGAGCTTCATGCAGCCGGTAAAATTTCGCAGCAGAAACCGTCCGCCACAGCAGTCTTTCCGTAGCTGCAAGAGGGAGGATGTAAGAACAGAAATTGACACACATATTTGAGTCGTGTTTATGACGCAGTGAAGGAGAGGTAGGAGCAGGAAGAGCACCGCAGAAGCTGATCGAGAGTATGAAACGGTAGACGGAAACCGTGAGATGTGAAAATGAACGGGTGTTGAGCTGTGGATGAAGTTTGAAGGAGCGGGAGAGGAGCATCACACACCAAAAGCCCTCGTTTTCGCTTGGGCGAAAATTGGACGAAATGGAGTGATTATTCAAACCTGGTGAGGTCTGAAGTTTTCGCTACTGTCGGTTCACAAGTACCTTGACGAAACTAGCGAGATGGAAACCCTATAATGTCTTGGTTTCTGTTCGCCACACTAATCCAAACCACATCAGCGCTGTCACATCTGATTTTGACAGCGCACCTTCAAAAGTGACGCTGGTTTCTGACGCGTCAGCAACACCTTATCCAATGTCGCTGTAGTCAGTCCTGTTATAACGCCACTAAATTTCCGTCGATGCGAATTCAGACTCAGATTCATGCAAGTTGGACACCACTGTACACCCAACACAACCGAAGTAATTCGCTGTACCAGCCCAATTTGGCACGTGCGGGGCGGGTTGTATGCGAACAACTAGGGGCTACGGGGACACAATGTGGAAGGGGTTGGATACAATGTGCAAGGGCGAGGTATGCAATGTGAGTGCAATGTTTGAGCATTGAACATCCTTGCCTACCACTGTATTTTGAGTGTTTGTACATTGCTTCGGCAATCGCCGCCGGGCATGGGTGGGGCAAAGCGGGTTTCGTGCATGGTTGTTGTGGCCCCACATTTTGTAGAGCTCTCATCGCCCGTCTGTACCCCCTCCATTCCCCCACGCTTCGCTTCACTCTCACCCACATCCTCGCACAAAGTAAAACCTCCTTCCTCCTTCTCCCTTCCTCGTTCCCCCTTCCTCTCTTCCTCCCTTCCATCGTACGGGCTTCCCAGGTAACTCCCTTCGCACCCCTCCATTCCTTCCTCCTTCTCCTCCAGTCCTTTCTCATCACTTCCGCCCGTCCGTCCCGCTTCTCGTCCACCCTACTCTCCAGCTTTCTTCCCCCCCACTCACTCTCTTCCCACCGCTCACTCTCTCCTTCCCCCACTCACTTTCTGCCCTGCTGCTGACTCTTCTCTCCCCCACTCACTCTCTTCCCCCCCGCTCACCCTCTTTCCCCCCTCTCACTTGCTTCCCCCCTGGTCATTTTCTCCCCTCCTGCGCTCTCTCTCCCCCCCTGCGCACTCTCTCCCCCCCTGCGCACTCTCTCCCCCCCTGCGTACTCTCTCCCCCCCCGTACACTCTCTCCCCCCCTGCGCACTCTCTCCCCCCCTGCGCACTCTCTCGCCCCATGCGCACTCTCTCCCCCCCCTGCGCACTCTCTCCCCCCCTGCGCACTCTCTCCCCCCCGCGCACTCTCTCCCCCCCTGCGCACTCTCTTCCCCCATGCGCACTCTCTCCCCCCCCTGCGCACTCTCTCCCCACCTGCGCACTCTCTCCCCCCATGCGCACTCTCTCCCCCCCCTGCGCACTCTCTCCCCCCCTGCGCACTCTCTCCCCCCCTGCGCACTCTCTCCCCCCCTGCGCACTCTCTCCCCCCCTGTGCACTCTCTCCCCCCATGCGCACTCTCTCCCCCCCCTGCGCACTCTCTCCCCCCCTGCGCACTCTCTCCCCCCCTGCGCACTCTCTCCCCCCCTGCGCACTCTCTCCCCCCCTGCGCACTCTCTCCCCCCCTGTGCACTCTCTCCCCCCATGCGCACTCTCTCCCCCCCCCTGCGCACTCTCTCCCCCCCTGCGCACTCTCTCCCCCCATGCGCACTCTCTCCCCCCCCCCTGCCGCACTCTCTTCCCCCCTGCTCACTCTCTCCCCCCCTGGTCACTTTCTCCCCGCCTGGGCTCACCCCTCTTTCCCCTCTGTTTACGCTCTATTCCCCTTCGTTCAACTCCTCCTATACATGCCCTTCTGTACCTCCTGCTTATTTGCCAAACCCCTTCCTTCCCCATTCCTTCACACAACCATGCTTGTACAGGTGCCCAGCACCAAGGGTTGCAGGTTTATTGCATGCATTGCAGCAGACAGTTGCTGGTTTTGTGCATTGTGCCTATAATATACCCTTGACCACTTTCACAGAAAGATACAGTCTCGCTTTATTGTACTTCTTTGTAGTGGTCATGTGTACTTCAATGCTGAGAGGTTTGTATTATAAGAAGCATCCAACATCAGTACATGGCATGGCTATTTGACTTACTAGCATCAAACAGCAAATGCATCACACTGAACTGAAAGCATAGCAGACCTATACAAACAGGGAGGGAGGGAACAAACCCTGCACAGAGTAAGGGAAGAAAGGAAGGGAGTATCAGGAGAGGACAGCGTTAGGTGGAAAGGAGGAAGGGAGGATGAGAGGAAGGGAGAATGAGAGGAAGGGAGGATGAGAAAAAGGGAGGATGAGAGAAAGGGAGGATGAGAGGAAGGGAGGATGAGAGGAAGGGAGGATGAGGGGACGGGAGGATGAGAGAAAGGGAGGATGAGAGGAAGGGAGGATGAGAGGACAGGAGGATGAGAGGAAGGGAAGATGAGAGGAAGGGAGGATGAGAGGAAGGGAGGATGAGAGAAAGGGAGGATGAGAGGAAGGGCGGACGAGAGGGAGGGAAGACGATAGGAAGGGAGAATGAGAGGAAGAGAGGTAGGGAGGATGAGAGGAAGGGCGATGTGAGGAAGGGAGGATGAGAGGAAGGGGGGATGAGAGGTAGGGAGTGTCAGAAGTCTAGGCAGGAATGGATGAACTATGGAAGAGTTTTGGATACAAATATCAAACCCTAGAAGGGGTTGTACCCCATATTGGCTACCCCACTACTGTTGGGCTGAAAAACCCTTAGGATCTTTGCAGGGGTGAACTCTGGGTAGAGTTGGTGTAGTAGCGGAAGTGTTAATTAAAGAGTTGTGAACCACCTTGCGCTAGTATGTGAGGGCAAAGTAAGTTGATTAAAACAAAGAGATACAAGCTTTTATAAGAGTACAAGGAATACGAAGAGATACAGTTAATAACCATTTTACTACTGCTGTTGCGGTTCGATATAGTGACGACTCGGGCAACTGCTCAATACCGAGTCAGTTGTTTTGTCCTTGCTGTCGCGCTGTACTTTGTCAGGTCAAAGGTCGCTGACCTTTGACTTTCGCGTAACCTCCAACAGTTACTTTCAACCTCCGAGGGTTGACTCGCCGGTGATTCGTTATACTTCGTTTCTTTTGTGTCTTAGTGTTTCGACACGACAGAGGCGCTTAGGACCGATTGTTTCCAACACTCCCCTTCGCTTCTGGAGTGTCGCTGACGTGGCTCTGTCCAGTCAGCAACATGCAGTATTCGAACTTCTGCATTCCGAGCTTCTTGGTCAGGTAGTCAGCTGCCATCTCAGACGTGGGACAGTATGACAGCTCGAGCCTTCCCTTCTCGATCTCGTCCTTCACGAAGAAATATCGCAGGGCGATGTGTTTCGTCCTGTTCGCGAAGCCGTTCTTGTTGGCGATGCGAATTGCTGACTGGTTGTCGCAGAACAGGGTAAAGTTGGGTAACTCGGCTAACTTCGCTTCTTCCAGCAGCTCGCGAAGATAGAGTCCTTCCTTGGTGGCTGAGCAGAGTGCAATATATTCTGCTTCAGCTGACGAGAGAGCAATTAATTCCTGCTTGCTCGACTGCCAAGAGATAGGTCCGATAGGTTCGAGGCGGTAGATGTAGCCGGTGCGGGAGCGCCTATTGTCGGAGTCGCCAGCGTGATCAGCGTCGACGTAGCCGATTAACTTAGTCGGTGTGGTTGCATTCTTGTAGTAAGTTAGGCCGATCGTTGGGGTGCTGACGAAGTAGTGAAGAGCGCGGTCGAGCTCCGCCAGATGTTCTGCTTCAGGCTTCTTGAGGTAGGTGGCGAGATGGCTTGCGGAGTATGAGAGGTCGGGGCGACAGGTGACGGCTGCGAAGAGAAGACATCCCAGCTTCTTCTGGTAGTCTCGTATGCCGGCGGGCTTGAGTAGAGCGGAGCTTCCTTTGTCGTTCCCTGCCGTGTAGCGGTATGGCGTGGAGATGGCTGTCGGTGTGAGCGTAAAGCGTTTGGCGATGGTGTCGGCATATTTCTCGGCGCTGAGGTAGATCGCGTCCTCCTCTTCCCGGATGTTGAGGCCGAGGTACTGAGTGACGGTAGATGAAACTGTGAGCGTGAGATCTCGCTGCAGCTCCCCTTCGAACCAGGTAGTGATGCCGTCATTCGAGCCGATGTAAAGGAGATCGTCCACGTAGACGATTAGTAGGATGTAGTCGTCGTTTTTTGTGAGCCGGTACATGCCTTGATCGTGCGGTAGTTGCTTGAAGCCGATGCGGATGAGGCGAGCGTGCAGGTACTGTTGCCACAGTCGCGGAGCCTGCTTGATGCCGTAGAGTGACTTGAGTAGCTGGCAGACTTGGTTGGGTTCTCTGTGGGAGCCGTGCGGTAGCTCGATGAAAATTTCTGCATCAACAGGTGCGTAGAGAAAAGCGTTCGCGACGTCAATTTGTCGCAGCTTCTTCTTCTTCATGGCGGCGATTGCGAGGAGAATGCGTAGTGAGGTGTGGCGGCTAACCGGAGCGAAAGTTTCGGTGAAGTCGCGTCCGTGTTCTTGGTCGAAGCCGCGTACAACCCAGCGAGCTTTAAATTTGAAAATGGTGCCGTCAGCCTTTGTCTTCACACGAAAGACCCACTTCCCGGTGAGCACTGTCTTGTTCCGTGCCACGCCGATAGGAACCACTTTCCACGTGTTGCGTTCCTCCAGTGCCTTCAGCTCCTTGTCCATGGCTTCGCGCCATTTTTCCTTATGCTCCCCCCCCAGAGCCTGTTGAACCGTCGCAGGCTCTTTAGGAATGGCGGTGCCGTGGACTGCGGTGACGAGTCCGAGAATTTGCAGTCCACTCTGTGAGTAGCGGGGAAGATTTGCGTCCTCGGGATAAGCTGCGTCATCTCCCGCTTCTGGATCAGGTATGAAGTTGGGTCCTACTCGTTCTGCTTCGTTGGTGTTGACTGTCGCAGGTGTTACGTAACCGTTGTCGGCGAAATAGTAGAAGGTTTCGGCGTTGACACTTTCGCGAGGGTTATCTTCGTCCATGGGAACGTCCACGGAGCAGAACGGAAGAGGTCCGGCTTCTTCTGATGCGTTGTCCACATTTTGCTCGTCCCAGTCAGCTTCGTCCGTTGCTGAGGCGAAGGCTCGGTCACCGCGAAAACCACCTGTGGGATCCTGGTCTTCTTGCAGGTTGGCAAGGTATGTCTGGAGCGTGAGTCGTTCGTAGAAAATTACATCACGTGCTGCTACTGTTTCCTTGGAATGGACGTCGAAGATTTTCCACGCGTTGTAGTTCTTTTCGATTCCCAGGTGTAGTCCCCACTGTGCTCGTTGAGAAAATCGGCCCGCTCGTGCTGCTGGGGGTCGGTACTGTACCATGCATCCGAATACTCGTAACATTTTTGTGCTGCCCTGTTTCCCTGTCCATAGCGGATGCGGTGATGCGTTGTTTGGAAGCGATGATGACGAGAGCAAGTTGTGCAGCATGACGGCGTGGTCCATTGCCGCAGGCCACTGGTGGTTGGGTAGCCGCATGCCACGTAACAGTTTGCGCATGCTGTTCTGCAAGGTCCTGTTCATTCTTTCTGCTACACCTTGCTGCTGATGGGCGTAGGGAAGGGAGATGAGCCGCTTGATTCCCCTTTCCGCCAGGTACTGCTTGAATCGCTGAGAGGTGTATTCTCCTCCTCCGTCTGACTGGAAGCTTTTCAGTTTCACGCCCGATTCTCTCTCTGCTACTGGTAGCCAGGCAACGAAGGCTGCGAATGCCATGTCGCGGCTAGGGAGGTTTAGGTGCCAGACGTAACGGGTGGCGGCGTCGATGAAGGTGATTGTATAGTTGTATATTACTTGTCCTGGTTCCCGATTGTACAGGATGTCGCTATACACCTTCTCGAGTGGTGCGTACGCGGGTGCGCTCGGGTTGTGATGAGACGCAAACGGTCGATGTGTAAGTCACCTTCAGGGCAGGTGAAGCACGTTCCGCGTACTCGTTGAAGTTCTCGTCCGACGGTCAGTAGGAGTGAGTCCTTGTCGAGTACTCCTGCTCTTATCGTATTGTTTAATACTGTGTTGCTTGGGTGTCCCATCCTTGCGTGCCAGGTGCTTTCGTCGGCGCGATGTCCGGGTGATCGTCGGTACATATCGGAGTTGGAGTAGAAGTTGGCGGTGAAGTTGGCGCTACGATGAACTTCTTGTGGTGCTGGGTGTAGTTGTTGCGCGGGTGTCGGTGGTGTGTCGTCGATGAGGAGCGGTGTCATTGAAGGACCAGCAATTGGTGTTGACGTTCCTGCTGCTGCCGTTGATGGTTCTGCTACTGCCGATGTTGTCTCTGCTGCTGCCGATGTTGTCTCTGCTGCTGCCGATGTTGTCTCTGCTGCTGCCGATGTTGTCTCTGCTGCTGCCGATGTTGTCTCTGCTGCTGCCGATGTTGTCTCTGCTGCTGCTGATGTTGTCTGAATTGTTGTAACGCCCTTGTTCTTTCTGCTTCAGGGATGGTGTGTGAAAACCAGAAGCCTTCTGGACTGAAGTCTGGATCAAGGTCTGGAGGGTGTGTCCAGTTGGTGAAGTTAACGATGGCGTCGCTGTCGGCGGTGCCAAGATCAGGAACGAAATCAAGAACGAAGACGTTGTTCTTGAGGACCGCCTTGCCGATGTAAAGTCCTCCTCTCCCATGATACAGCTTGAATTCTTGGGTGGTGCTGTCTGCTTCGAGGTGAATCCCTTTCGCCATTAGCTGACTGACGCTCAGTAAGTTGTAGCCGAGTCCCTCCGCGATTAGTACTTTTGACATCTGCAGTATAACGTTTGTTTCCCTTGACTGAAGTTGAACTACGCCTTGTCGTCGTGTTCGCAGGTTCTGATTGTTGGCGACTGTAATGACAACTTCGCGTTGAAGTTGGTGTTCTCGTTGAACGAAGCGTCCCGAGGAGCACATGTGCTGTCCGCAGCAACTGTCCAAGAACCATGTGTCTTTTCCGGATGGTTCGCTTTGGGCGATGGCGGCGTATGTCGGGTTCGGCT